GTCTTTTTGAGACAGGGTCTCACTGTAGCCCCAGCTGGCCAGGAACTCACTACGTAGACCAGGTTGGCCTTGAACCCACCTGCCTCTGCCTCCCAAGTGCTAGGATTAAAGGCGTGCACCACCACGCCCGGCTTAAATATATTTTTTAAATTCGACAATTTCATATACATACTGTATTCTGGTCATATTCATCTTCCATTCTTCTCTCAGATCCCCCTCCAATCCCTCTGGAACCTTCTTTTCCCCCTCCTACCCTGGTATCGGTTTTTTTTTTTCCAATCTCACTGAATTAAATAGGGCTGCTTGCATTTGCATTGGTGTAGGGCTATTTGCACGTCCAGCCTTTTTTTTTTTCAAATTTTATTTTACTTTTTTTTTTTTTTTTTTTGAGAGTTTCCCAGGCTAGCCTTGAACTCATTCAGCTGTCCAGGCTGGCCTTGAACTTGTGGTCCCCCTGCCTCAGCCTCCAGAGTAGCTAGGATTCCAGGCCTACACACACCATCAGGCCTGGCTGTGGCTACCCTATGAAGCAGTGCAGGTCTAGGGAAAGTATTAGCATTGATAGTTACTGGTAGTAACAATAGCTAACATTACTGAAGCTTCAAATATTCAAGGCCAAAGCTGAGTGCAATCTATGCTCGTTCACTACCCACCCCTCCACAGTACACTGAGGTAGACACTGTGACTCGGCCCACTCACAGAAGAAGCAAAGCCCTTAGCAACGCAGACGGTAAGGCAGCTGGTGTGAGCTGGGCTAAGACTCCCAACGCTGGCATCCAGAAGCCACCCTCCCTACTGCTGTACCAAGTGACCAGGCCATCTAAACTGGTGAAAATAAATGGGAATGTTTAGGAAAAACACCCATGGCTTTAATTTGTGAGCCAGAGAAGTAGAGAGGAAGAGGGGACAGTTGCCCTACAGACTGATGCAAATCCTAACCAGTTCAGATATACCCTCTTGAGAGCTGACGAGATGGCTGAAGGGTTGAAGGTGCTTGCCACCAAGCCTGACAACCAGAGTTCAACCCAGATGCCACATGGTGGAAGGAGAGAAGGAGCTCCCACAAGTTGTCCCTGACCGCCGTATATGCACATATATGGTTGTGCACAGATACACAGAGCAAATAAATAGGAACGGGGAAAGGGAAGGAAAGGAGGGGGAGGGGGAGGGGAAGAAAAGGAAAGGAAAGGGGAAATGAAAGAGGGGAGGAGAGGGGAGGGGAGGAGAGGAAAGAGGGAAGGAAAGGAAAAAAGACCCTCCTGGAGTTCTCACAAAGTCACTAGGCATATGTCTGTCTGGGAAGTCACTGGGAAGTTGCAGTGACAGTCACTCCAGGGATGGGATCGAGGCTGGGAGGAAGGTGAGGGAGGTGGATGAGACACATGCAGGGGTAGAAAATCTGAAGAAAAAGAAAAAACTTCACCAAGATCAACACTATTTTAACATGGTATTTTTAGAAATCAAAATCAATGGGAAAAGAAATTCCTTGATGGACAAGAAAACAGTAACGGGGCTAGAGAGATGGCTCAGGGGTTACAAACACTAACTGCTCTTCCAGAGGACCCAGGCTCAGTTCCCAACACCCACATGGCAGCTAACAACCATCCATAACTCCAGTTCCAGGAGAGCTGATGCCTTCTGGCCTCCTCAGGCATTGCACACACATGGCGCACTTACACATACGCAGTCAAAACACTCATTCACATACGATAAAAACTTAAAAATTTAAAGAAAAAAAAAAAACAGTATGATGATGTTCGCAGTCACACTGAAGCCTGAAGCAAAAGTGGAACCAAGTTACTTATCTTTTTCTATCAATCTTGACTGTTAATTTTTTTGCTACCCCAAGGCAAACGCCCCACTAGCCTTACCTAGTCCACAAGTCCTTTCTTTTCTTTTATTTTTTTCTGAGACAGGGTCTCAATATATAGCCCAGACTAGTAGTGAGACCCTTCTCACTTGACCTCCATGCCCCCAAATGTTGAAACAGCCTCTCTCCTGGGATTAAAGTAAGTGAATTTAAATGCTCCCTTTCCTGCTGTGTGTCCTCCTAGAGAGTTAGCTGCTCACAGGCCTCTACTAAATAAACCCAGAGTGCAGAAAACTAGACCTGCCCTGAGGGCAGCCATTACCCAAGGTCAGAGGAATGCAGCCAGCTGTTACAATGTGCTGAAACATCTCTCGAATTAGCCGACAGCTGTCCTGGAGGTTATAAAGATTGATATTCATATTGCCTAGGTCTGCAACCTTGAGGGACTGGAAGGGGAGGGCTCCCGTGCTGGGATTGACAGCCCGAAGCAGCACTGATTCCTCACGGATGCGGCAGGGTCCAAACCTAGAGAAGAGTCATCTGTCAGTAGCTGCGGAGATCTGTCTCAACTCTGTTAACATTTGGGGACAGGTGGCTGTGCTGTGGGACTGCCTGTAACCACTGCTATCTCCTTACCCACCCTGTAAAGAGCAAAAAAGTGTCTACACCTTACCAGATGTCCACTGGGTATAAAACCAACCCCGGGCTGGAGAGATGGCTCAGCGGTTAAGTACACTGTTTGTTCTTGCAGAAAACCCGGGTTCAAATCCTAGCACCCACATGGCAGCTAATAACTGTCCCTAACTCCATTCCCAGGGGATCTGACAGCCTCTTCTGTCCTCCATGAGCACTGCACAAACATGGGTGTACTTACCTACATGCAGGCAATACACAAGTACACATAAAATTAAAAAAAAAAAACCAAAAAACCATTAAGAACCATTGGTCATGGGGCTGGAGAGATGGCTCAGAGTTAAAAACGCTGGCTGTTCTTGCAGAATACCCAGGTTCGAATCCCAGCACCCACATGGCAGCTAACAACTGTCCATAACTCCAGTTCCAGGGGATCCGATAGCCTCTTCTGTCCTCCATTAGCACGTCACAAACATTGGTGGTCTTCCCGAAATGCAGGCAAAAACCAAGTACACATAAAAATAAAAAAATAATAAGCAAAATATTTCTAAAAAAAGAACCATTAGTCCATAAATTGTTTTGTTTTATTTGTTTTTTTGAAACAGAATCTCACTCTGTAACCAAGGCTAGTCTGGAACTTGCTATATAGACCAGACTGGCTTCAAAGTCACAAAGATCTGCCTGCCTCTGCCTTCCAAATGCTGGGATTAAAGGCATGTGCCACCACAGCCAGCTGCGGCTTTGCTTTTTCACCATTTGTTTGGTTTGGGGTTTTTTCTTTTTGTGTTTGTTTGAGACAGGGCCTTGCTGTGTAGAACAAGCTGGCTCAGAACTCACTATATAGCCCAAGAGGGTCACAAACTCTCAATCCTCCTGCCTTGGCCACCCAAGTGCTGGAATTACAGGCATGTATCACCACACCAGGTTAACAGCATTTTTACCACAGTCAGTTTATTAATTTTCTGTTATTGTAACACAATACCTGAAGCTGATTTTTTTTTTTTTAGGTCAATAAAGTGCTTGGTTTGCAAGCACAGGGACCCAAGTTGGGTTCTGATCTCCAGAACCCAAGTGAAACCAGGTGAAATATAGTAAAGAACATTGCAGTTGCTGGGGGCTCCCTGGCCAGCCAGTCTAGCCTACTTGGTGAACTCCAGGCCAACGAGAGATACTGAAAACGACAGTGAAAGGTGTCCTACAGCCTCCACTAAACACATGCACATGAGCATACACATAAACACACAAACATATACACATACATACATGCATATGCATGAAAAATTTTTAAAAAGCCGGGTGTGGTGGCGCACACCTTTGATCCCAGCACTTGGGAGGCAGAGGCAGGTGGATCTCTGTGAATTCAAGGCCAGCCTGGTCTACATAATGAGTTCCAGGCCAGCTGGGGCTACTGGGAGACCCTGTCTCAAAAAGAACAAAAAAAAAATTTAAAAAAGAGAGATTGGGTGTGGTGACACACACCTTTAATCCCAGCACTTGGGAGACAGAGGCAGGCAGATGTCAGCGAAATTGAGGTCAACCTGGTCTACTTAGTGAATTCCAGGCCAACTGGGGCTGCAGGGAGATTCTGTCTCAGACAACGAAAATTAATAACAGTTACCTCACACTGTGGTTGTAGGAATTAAATTAGGTAATCTGTGCAAAGCGCCTGGAGTTTACTGACATTTAATAAATGATGGCTTTTAAAATTCAGACCGATGGAGTCAGACGTAATAAGCTGAATCTGAAATTGCTGCTGGTCAGTAATTAAGAAAATAGACTTTACGTCTCTGACAGGTAGAAGGGCTGTGGAAGGGACAATCAGCTTCTATTCTCAAATGTAGTTTCACCTGCCACTGTAAAATGGAATGGGACCAAGCTGTGTGTGGTGGCACAGGCCTGTAGTCTCAGCACTTGGGAAGCAGAGGCAGGCAATCTCTGTGAGTTCAAGGACAGCCTTGTCTACATAGTAAACTCTAGGCCAACTGGGGCTACAGGGAGACCCTGTCTCAAAAAAGACCAAAAAAAAAAAGAAAAAAAAAGGAATGGGACCAGTAGGGTGTGTACTGACTGCCACTTCAACACTCCAAAAGGGTGGGGGAGGGCGATCTGGGGAAGGGGGAGGGGTGCTTGGGTTCTAGAGACCCTCTAGTCCTGCAGTGCAGCCCAGCCTTTCAGAACTGCCTCGGCTTCTTGGGGAGCCAGGGATGCAGAGAAACCTTCTAATCACTGGGTGGCACTGAGATCACAGGACTAGCCTTCCAATCTGGTGCTCGAGGGAAGAGGGAAATCCCTCTCTCAGACCACAAGGGGCGTTTTGGAGCCAGCACCGCTTCCAACCCGACCCAGAGAGCAGAGGTGCCCGCCCCACGTGCCCCTGTCCCACGTGCTCTCTGCCCCTCCGGTCCATCCTGCCCCAGGTGCCCCTGCCCCTTTGGTCCATCGTGCCAAGTGCCCCCTGCCTCTTTGGTCCATCCTGCCCCACATGCCCTTGCCCCTTTGGTCCATCCTGCCCCACATGCCCTTGCCCCTTTGGTCCATCCTGCCCCACATGCCCTTGCCCCTTTGGTCCATACTGCCCCACATGCCCTTGCCCCTTTGGTCCATACTGCCCCACGTGCCCCCCGCCCCTCCGGTCTACGCGCCTGGCCACGTGTCCCCCACCCCGGTGCGCCCAGGCATTACCTTGCCCCGGGCCGGTGGGAAGTGCCGCTGTCCAGGGGCACCCCGACGAAGGCGGCGTCCAGCCCCTCGGGGGAGGCCTGCAGGGGCAGACGCAGCATGGAGCAGACGCCCTCCAGCCCGGCCGCCGCCTCCGAGCTGGCGGGCTGGTTCCGCCGGGTGTCGGAGACCTTGCGGCTCCCGGGATGCGCCACCACGCGGGCCCCCGCGCCTCGGGCGCAGCCCAACGCCAGCAGCCGCAGCATGCCGCCGCTCGCTACCCAGCCGCTCCCCGAGCCCGCAGCACGTGTGCCGCCCCCGGCCCGCAGGGTTCAAAGGGCGCCCTGGGATCAAAGGCCAGAGCCGCCCAGGCTCCAACTCTGCACATGGCCCCCTCCGGTCTCACTCTGTAGCCTAGGCTGGTCTGGAACTCATTGTGTAGCCCAGGTTGACATTCAGCTCAGCCTCCCGAAAGCTAGGATTATAGGCCTTGCAAAAGTAACTTTTTTTTTTTTCAAAAATTTTTAAAATTTTCTGGCTTTTTTCTTTCTTTATTGTTTTTTAAAGATAGGGTTTCATGTAGTACAAACTGGCCTTGAACTACTAGTGGAGGACGACCTTAAACTCCTAATCCTCCTGCCTCCACCTTTTTGGGTGCTGGGATTAAAGGCACGTACTACCATGCTCCAAGAGTAAGGTCTATTTTTTAAATGACACTCATTGCCAGGTGTGGCGACTTCCCCTTTCATCCCAGCACTTGGAGAGCAGAGGCAGGCAGAAATCTGTGGGTTTGAACCACATAGTGAGTTCCAGGCCAATCAGGGCAACATAGGAAGACCCTGCCGCAGAACAAAACGCAAACCCCCAAAATAAAATATGACATTTATTATTTATTTATGGATATGCATGTGTACATGTTATGAGGTCAGAGGACAACTTGCAGAAGTTGGTTCTCTCCTTCCACCATGTGAATCCAGGGGATTGAACAGGTCCTCGGTACCATCTGAGCCATCTCACCACCAATGAGTAACATTCATTTACTTATTTTTATTTTGTGTATATGAGTGTTCTGCCTGCATTGTACGTATGTGTATCTTGAGTGTGCCTGAGGAGGCCAGAAGATGGCACTGGATCCCTGGGGAACTGGAGTTGCAGCCAGTTGTGAGCCATCATGTGTATTGCTGGGAACTGAACCCAGGTCCTTGACAAGAACAGCAAGTATTGTTAACTGCTGAGCCATCTCTCCAGCCCCTCAAAATAACTTTTTTCCTTTTGGTTTTTAAGACAGGGTCTCCTTATAGCTCCAGCTGGCCTGGAACTTATGAAGACCAGGCTGATCTCAATCTCACAGAGAGCCACCTGTCCCTGCCTCCCAAATGCTGAGATTAAAGGTATGTGCCACTATGCTTAGCAAGAATGTCTTTTTTTAATTTTTTAATTTTATTTTATTTGTATTTTATGCGTTTAAGTGTTTGCCTGCATGTATGTAAGTGTACCACGTGTGTGCAATGCCCAGGGAGGTAAGAAGAAGGTGTTAAACCGGGCATGGTGGCGCATGCCTTTAATCCCAGCACTCAGGAGGCAGAGGCAGGTGGATCTCTGTGAGTTCAAGGCTAGCCTGGTCAACATAGGGAGTTCCAGGACAGCTGGGGCTACAGGGAGACCCTGTCTCAAAAAGACCAAAAGAAAAAAAAAAAAAGGAGGTGTTGGATCCCCCAGAGCTGGAGTTAATGGACAGTTGCCAGCCACCTTGTGGATGCTGGGAACTGAACCCACGTCCTCTATAAGAACAGCCAGTGCTCTGAACCACTGAGACATTTTTCCAGCCCCAAGTGTAACATTCTTTTTAAAAATTATTTATTTATTTTATGTATTTGAGTGTTTTGCCTACGTGTATGTAAGTGCATGGAATTTCAGATGATTGTTATCAGCCATGTGGGTGCTAGGAAACAAAACTGGGCACTCTGCAAGAGCAGCCAATGCTCTTAAATGCTAAGCCATCTCTCCAGCTCCCAAGAGTAACATTCTTGATATCAAAAATTTTTAAATGAGAAGACTTTCTCTAAGGGAAAGAAATGGAATTTTTTTTTGGGGGGGTTGGTGTTTTTGAGATGGGGTCTCCCTGTAGCTCCAGCTGGCCTAGAACTTGCTATAGAGACCAGGCTGACCTTGAACTCACAGACTTCCACCTGCCTCTGCCTCCCAAGTGCTGGGACTAAAGGCATGTGACACCATGCCAGTCAAGAAATGGAATTGACTGGACTCTTACTTGTTATATAGCTGAGAATCACCTTGAACTCCTGATTCTCCTGCCTATACCTCCCAAGTCCTGAGATTGTAAGTGTTAAACACTATGCCTGGATTAAAAATGCATTTAAAAAATAATATGTTGGGGCTGGAGAGATGCTCAGTGGTTAAGAGCACCAGCTGCTCTTGCAGAGGACCTGGGTTCAGTTCCCAGCACCCATATGGCAGCAAACGACTGTCCACAACTCCAGTTCCAGGGGATCCAGTACCCTCTTCTGATCTCTACAGACATTGCATGACACAGGTGTACCTACCTGTATTCAGGCAATACTCTCACCCACATGTAATAAAAATAAACATTAAAAAAGGCATTGGCTGCTCTTGCTAGGACAGGTTTGGTTCCCAGTAACCACATGGGAAGACAACTACCTGTAACTCTAGCTCCAAGGGATATGACACCTTTTTCCTTCCCATTTCTGTCAGCACCTGCACATACATGTACCCCAAAACAGAAGGAGGGAGTGGGGAAGGAAAGGAGAAAGGGAGGGAGAGGAAGCAAGCAAGAAGTGTTCGGGTTGGGATTCTCCGGAGGCAGGAAAACCTTTAAATAATCTTTGTTTTTAAGGAGAGCTGATAGAGCACTTACATAGCATTTGTAGACCCTGGGTTGGACAATGAATAAGACAAAATAAAAATGCATTGCAGAGAACTTGATAGTGAGCTGTAGAAAAGGGTACACACCAGCAAGCCCACTAATGTGCTGTTCCCATTCTTGCTTTTCTTAAAAAATATTTTATTTTGCCGGGCGTGGTGGCACACACCTTTAATCCCAGCACTCGGGAGGCAGAGGCAGGCGGATCTCTGTGAGTTTAAGGCCAGCCTGGTCTACATTGTGAGTTCCAGGACAGTGGGGCTACAGGAGACCCTGTCTCAAAAAGACCATAAAAATTTTTTTCATTTATTTTATTTTATATATATGAGTGTATTGCCTGCATGTATGTAAATGCACCCATGTTGTGCAATGCACACAGAGGTCAGAAGAGGGCATCAGATTCCCCTGAAACTGGATGGTTGTTAGTTGCCATGTGGGTGCTGAGAATCTAACCCGGGTCCTCTGCAAGAACAGCTAGTGCTCTTAACTACTGAGTCATTTCTCCATACCCTGGCCTTGTCATTTCTAAGGAGAGGAAAGAAACAAAACAGAACAAAATACCATTCCGGGGCCTGTGAGGTGGCTCAGTGGGTAAAGATACCTGCTGGCAAGCCTGATGAACTCAGTTTGATCCCCAGGACCTATATGATGAAAGGGGAGAACTGACTCCTGCAGGTTGTCCTGTGACCTCCACACATGTGCCATGGCACACACATGCATACATACACTAAATAAATGTAAACAAAAATACCACTCAGGAAACAGAGGTGATATGTGAGCCACTCGATGGGCTGTTTTTTTTTTTTCTTTCTCTCTCTCTCTTGCAAGTGAGATTAAATGGAAAAATCCTCAGTTTGCATTAATTCCTGATCTGATGCAAAAGTCACACATTGAGCCCCACTCTGGAGGACAGGGCAAGGTTCTCTAGTGGTCAATAACGAGTGTTCATTATGGGAAGAGTACTCTAGGCACATCTGGCTATTTTCCAGATCAGATGCCGTAATCTGTTCCTCTCAACAGCCAGGTCCTAATGCTGTTGCTTCCATGTCACTTGTTCTAGAATATATCATTTTCTCACTTTTGACTTTTCTTTCATTCATCTCAGAACTATTTCTGGAGTTCCTACTGTGTGTCATGCACTCTGTGCCCAGGGTGTAGTACACCTCCTTCTCCAGCTCCCCTCACAGGTGTTCTGGTCCCTCTCTGTCAGGAGCCGCTAATCATTCAGCGGTGTCAGGCTTGTTTACTGAGTGTTATGCACACCAGTATCTAATCTGCCTTATTAGGAGGAATATGTTTATATGGAGAGCCTCACAACACCTGCAATAGTGGAAGCCTTTGATCTGACCGCTCCCTGACCCTCAGATACAGGTGGGGAAGAACAGCAGTTGTAACTAATTGAGTTCTTCTGTATAAAAAGGCAGAACTGAAATAAATCGAGGCTGTAGTATTGACTGTGAGCCCTCCCAAGAAGCATCTTTTCTGTCTCTTTTCCTTTCTTTCAATCCTCACTCCCCCTTTCAGGTACTGTCCGTTTTGGCCGGCTGGCACCGGCACCTCTCCACCTCTCTTCTCTCAGGCCAATCTCTTTTCATATCCAAATGACAATTTTCTTCTGTAGACAGACATTTCACCATCCAGAGTTCCTCTGCAAGGACAGAGTCTGATGTCTTGCTCTGTGATCCCCACAAGGAGGCGCCAGGGTCAGCAACATTTGCTACTCTGTATCACCATCTGACATCTCCTCAGAGGCCAAGTGCAAGCGCACAATCTACTATCACCTGTCATGGACGGCAGACCATGGCCCTGCTGGAATAGAGGGTTCAGAGGACCCAGGGAGGGTTCACAGCTGGTGCGGATGCAGGTGGTCAGGGAGACAGGGCAAGGAGTCTGGGGGCGGGGGGAGGCTTGAGGCCAGAACATCCCAGGCAACTGATCCTGATCCGTATTCATGGCATAGGATATTTCTTTCCTGGAGAGCCTGTCATGGACGGCAGACCATGGCCCTGCTGGAATAGAGGGTTCAGAGGACCCAGGGAGGGTTCACAGCTGGTGCGGATGCAGGTGGTCAGGGAGACAGGGCAAGGAGTCTGGGGGCGGGGGGAGGCTTGAGGCCAGAACATCCCAGGCAACTGATCCTGATCCGTATTCATGGCATAGGATATTTCTTTCCTGGAGAGCCATTTTACCAGTTCTGAAGATAACTGTTCATGAGCCGTGTGTGGTGATGCACACCTTTAGTCCCAGCACTCAGGAGGCAGAGGCAGGCAGATCTCTGAGTTCAAGGCCAGCTTGGTCTATATAGTGAGTTCCAGGCCACCTGGGGCTACAGGGAGACCTTGTCTCAAAAAACAAAAACAAAAACAAAAAAATGGATTCAAAA